TAACCTTCTCAAATGCCATTAACAACACCAGGTGCGAGAAAGACAGGTATTGTTTATATACCAAAAAGAAAAGAAAAAAAAGAGGACTGATTGACGACCTGGGAGATAGCTTTCTGCTGTCGATAATTATGCAACAGATGGTTTGATAACTAATACAATGCTCGTAAAAAAAAAAAAAAAAAAAAAAAAACTCTCTCCTCTGTCCTCTGTTTGAGTCGAGTCTTTGTCTTCTCTTGGGGGATGGGGGTGGGGTGGGGTGAGGAAGGGGGGGGGGTAGGATGATGTGTGTATACAGACACACACACACACACATACACACACACACACACACACACACACACACACTATTGTATCTCTCTCTCTCTCTATATATATATATGTATATATATATATACATACACACACATATATGTATGCATATACACATATCCATAAGGATAATAATGATGATGATGGTGATGATAATACTAGTGATATAAATATTGATAATAATAATAATGATAATAATAATAATAATAATAATAATAATAACAACAATAACAGTAATGGTAATAATAGCAATCAAAATAATAATAGTAATAATAATGATAATAATAATGGTAATGAAATAATGATAATGACAACAATAATAATCATTATTGCCATTATAATAATATTAATGATTTTAATATAACAATAATAACAATAATAGTGATAATGATAATAATAATAGTAATAACAAAACAACAATAACATTTAAGGCAATAACAACCGTAACAATAGCAACAACAACAACAAAAAAATTCGACGCCCTAAGAAAGGGAAATTAATATTGAAACAACGAAACAATAGATCATAACTAAGGTGATGGCAAAAAGCCAAACAAAGAATTTAATAAACAAACAAACCACAAGAGCTAAGTACTTAAGATAAAGAATCGAAAAGCAGACAAACAGTTACACATTACAAACAATCAATCAAACAAACAAACATACAAACCATATTGGCTAAGCTTTGACCTCAGTAAATGAAGAATCTGGGAAAAGAAAAACAAACAAACAAAACAGACAAAAAACGTCAGCATCAACAACAGCAACAACTACAATAACAACAACAACAATAACATAAACAACAGCAACAACAAAAACATCAACCGAAACAACAACGACAACATCATCAACAAAACAAAGCCAAACAAATACGGACATCCAGAACACAAAACAAAAAGCAAAAGCACATAACGAACAAACAAAAAAAGACCATGAACATTAATAGCCCGATGTCTTCAGAATAAATTCCCTCCCGGAGGCGCTGGAGGTCCGAGTTAAGAGCTCCAGTGTAACGTCTTCTGTGATACCACTAATATCTTTATCCTTCCGACTAATAGATGGCGCCACTTACCTCACTTAGCATCGTGGTATTTAATCTTCCTTGAACGAGGTGACGTTTTGTGATGATTTCGGTTCTATTTAAGGATAAATTTGGCTGCAGGTTCTGTGAAACTTTTATACTATAGAAAAGAAAAGAAGAGAGAGAGAGAGAGAGAGAGAGAGAGAGAGAGAGAGAGAGAGAGAGAGAGAGAGAGAGAGAGAGAGAGAGAGAGAGAGACGGAATCTCAATTAAAATTATCTCTATGAAACGCAAGAGGAAATGAAACTCTAATTGTCAGCCTTGAATGAACCGTTTCAAAAAACCACTAATGAATGTGCAAGCATCGTGACCATTCTGTTATTACGATGTACAAAACTCATATAAAAAATGAGTAAAAGAGGAATGAAAGAAAAGAACGAAAGAAAGGAAAGGGATAAGAGAACGAATAAAATAAAATAAGAGAAAGGAAAGGGATAAAAGAACGTAAGAAATAGAACAAGAGAAAGGAAGAGAAAAGAATATCAGGAGTTGTGGTCGAAGTATCTCCCACTGAATCTAAAGACATCTTGGAAACCAGTGGTAAGTAGCACTCTTGTGTGTAAAAAAAACGAGTTTCAAACACCTTTATCTCTTAAAGAACAGTGCACCATATACCACCATTATTCTGCCTCTCTTCTATTGCACTTTTTGTTCTTTTTTGTTCTCTTTGATAGTGCCTTTGATAGTTCTGTCCTTGGCATCTACCTTCACTCTTATGACAGAAGGTCTCAAGAACCATTTACATCTATAGCATTATCTTACATCAGGAGGGTATTAAGGGTTAGTGTGACACGCAGTATATCGAAAGAAGGAAAATGAGATTTACAGCGAATAGTGTATCATGTAATTTGAAGTATAATAGCATGGTATAAAACTGCCGCGTCCAGTGACACTTTCACTCCTCTTTTAACATACGGATAAAATCAGCTAACGGGTCTTACCATCATAGTTATTAACTTTATATATATTAATGTATCAGTATATTGTATACCATAATATACTGTGGAACATAGTGATGATCATACAATCACACTTTCACTTACGAAATACGGATACAATAAGGAAATAAGACCACCATAGTCTGACTCTCCTTCTACCATATAAACCATACACATTAAGAACCAAACAAAAACACTTTATTCACATGACCTCGAGGATAACGCGAGGCAAAGGAGCCGAGAATCCCTTGCATCGAGGATCTTACAGGCCTGATGGCGTCGAGGCAAAGGGCATGGAGCGAAGGTCGGTGCGTAGAGACACTGGATCTTGGTTTAGTGGAATGTTTGAAAAAAAAAAAAAAAAAATAGCGCAGTGGGTTCATTACAATGCTGAGTTCGGGCGAGGTAGAATAGCATTCCGTTGATTGAGGATCCGCATAATGGTCGATGTTTATTAGAAATTTAATTATGTAAAGTGATAAGCGATTCTGTGCAATACTAATCTGTAAGAGTGAAACGTATGGATTTTATTGTTTGTAAAGTAATATATAGATATAAATACATTTCTACATACGTATGTGCGTGTATTTGTTTAGTTACTTCTCCATGAAACGAGAGAGAGAGAGAGAGAGAGAGAGAGAGAGAGAGAGAGAGAGAGAGAGAGAGAGAGAGAGAGAGAGAGAGAGGCAAAGAGAGAGAGACAGACACACAGACAGACAGACAGAGCGATGCAACTACTCTCACCTTCTTCAATCCCATTGAAACGAAGCAAACCAACCTGACTTAAAATCCACAGTACCCTCGAGGAGAAAGCCAGAGCCCCCAACAGCCCTGATTTAAAGTCCAGCCTCATTGCTACGCAGGCGACCGATCCCCGGAGCCCTTAGGTACTTCTACGTCACTCGGGAACCCCCAAGTCCTGCGTCCTCGTCCTTGGCGTCCTTATTAGGGCCAGGAATAAAAGAGTGGCCCGTGTGGTTCTGAAAATGAGGAAGAACCCCACGGCGCTCCGGCGGGTGACTCACCACCGGTCGATACAGATAGAGCTCAGAAAGACGCTTGTGAACGTAATACCAGGAGCTCAGCCGTTAGAATATGCGTCTGATTTCGTTTAAAAACTCGAAATGCAGAGGGGAAGAGTGACTGCAACATGCAATGATGGTGGTATTTCCTCGAGATAACAACTTTAATGTCTTTTCAGTTCGAAGGAGTGAGGTCTTCATCCTTTTTCGTTTCATGCCATTGAACTATTCTCTTTAATGTTTATTAGTCAGTGCATTTATTTTTCGTCTCAGAAAAAGATAAGATAAGCATAACTATCTCGTTCCCAGAAGCAGTTAAGGTATAATAAGAAGAATAACGAGGTTCTTCACACAGATTACGTTCATCTGGTTTGGTTCACTGGCTGGCGTTTATATCAGTTAAATGCCACGGCAGTAAATATTAATGGACGTCGTAGTATTTTTAAGATTATTTTCTTAAAAGATGCTTGATAAGAGTCTCTTGAAGAGGAGAGAAAGAGGAAGAGGGGGAGGGGGTAGTAAGGGAGGAGAAAGGAGAGAGGAGGGACGTTGGAGGTGAGAGAAAGAGAGAGAGAGAGATAAAGAGAGAGAGAGAGAGAGAGAGAGAGAGAGAGAGAGAGAGAGAGAGAGAGAATGAGAGAATTAGATCAATAACAACTGATATAAAGAAGACCTCAAACCCAATCAATGGTAGTAAAAAAAAAGAAAAAAAAAAGCGAAGGACGGCGCCCTGCAGAGACGGCCCACAATGCCCCTTAGAGCCAGCAAAACCGCCTGCACCGCGCCGGACGCCCTGCCTGCCTTGTGTTAGGGACCTGCAGAAACCCCGTGAGGCGCCGCCCTTGCGTGCCGCGGGGAATTCTGGCGCGGCCGCGACTCGGAGGCGTTGGCAGCGCCCTTCCGATGGCACTGGATCGCGTTTTCAGAATAGCCGCATCATTTAAGTGGGTATAAAGTGTGTTTATATTTATATATATGTGTGTGTGTGTGCGTGTGTGTGTGTGTGTGTGTGTGTGTGTGTGTGTGTGTGTGTGTGTGTGTGTGTGTGTGTGTGTGTGTGTGTGTACATACACACATGTATGTATAAACACACATACACACACACACACACACTCACTCACACACACACACACACATACACACACACACACACACACACACACACACACACACACACACACACACACACACATATATATATATATATATATATATATATATATATACATATACATATACAGTGTATTTGTCTGTGTGTCTGGACTGGGTAACATGGAAAAGATACACACGAACAATACTGAAAGACAATATCCTCACTCCTGAAAACGAAATCCAGAAGACCGAAAAAAAAAACAGTTTCGCGTGCTCTTTCTACCTGCGGCAGTTCTCGCAGCGCTGTGCAGGGAGCGGCAGCAACACAGCCTGGACATTAAGCCTCGAAACGGCCGAATGACAATCGGAACGACGTATAAAAAAGGCTCGCGGGGGAGGGGAAGGGGAGGGGAGAGGAGGGAAGGGGGGAGGGGAGGGGAGGGGAGAGAAGAGAAGGGAAGGGAGGAGGGGGAGGGGAGGAATTTTATCGGGGGGGGGGGGAGGGGACCTGGGGAGGGGAGAAGAGAGGAGGAAAAGAGGGAGAGTGTTGCTGACTTACCTGTGAGGAGAAGCAGGAAGCCAGCCATGTCGGCAAGGGCGCCACGCGTCTCGGGATGCGACGAGACGCCTCTGGGCACCGTAGATGCTGCTGTGGCGCTGCGCTGGTTCTCGTGGCACTTGCACACTCACTGCTGGCACTCTCAAAAGGTGCCTGTCACTGTCACCTTTGATAAACACCAAAGCACATTTATTTTTGCACTTG